GTCACACAGCTCCTAAGTGTCTTGAGACTCAGGAAGATGAGGCTTCCTGACTCCAAGCCCAGTGCTATCGACTGTGCCACTTAGCTGCCCCACAGACAAATAACAGGAGAAAATCAACAGATAGAAGGTGCTAAGGGGGATTAGGCTCTCATTAAGCAGGATCAGGAAAGACTTCATGCAGAAGGCAAGCTTTTAGCTGAGGCTTGAAGGAAGTCAGGGAAGGAGCAGACAATGAGGGAGAGAGTTCCAGGCATAGGGGACAGCCGATGAAAATGTCTGGAGCCAGGAGATAGAGTGTTTAGTATGAGGAATACAGTGTCACTGAATCACAACCTAGCTTAGCCCTCCCAATCCTATAAAATAAGTATCATGATTATTAGCCCCATTTTACAGATGAGAAGACTGAGAATCAAAAAGGCTAAATGACTTGCCAATGGTCACATATCCATTGTGTCAGAAGCAGAATTTGAAGCCAGTATTATTTATTTGTAACATCAACAGCTAGCATTAATAGAATTCTTTAAGATTTGAAAAGAACTTTACAAATATAAACTCATCTTATCCTCACAAGAACCATGAGAGGCAGGCATTATTATTATCCCCATTTTATAGAAGAGAAAACTGAGGCAGAGTAAGATTAAATGACTTGCCTAAAATCCCACAGCTAGGATTGAACTTAGGTCTTCCTGACTCCAGGTCCAGTGCTCTAAATGCGGAACGACACTGCATCTATGTACAGCCCTGTATATGTATCACAACTCTCCTCCCCTAGCCCCCACCCCTTTTTGCAGATCAGGAAATCTAGGCCCAAAGAGGTTTACCCAGTGACACAACTAGTTAGTATAAGAGCTTTGGTGAAAATCTAGGTCTTCTGACTCATAGGCCAACCCACTTTCCCCCAGGGCACACTGTCTCCCTAAGGATTAGTAAAGAGAGAAGGAGCAGTAAAGATTTCATAGTCTTCTTGGACTAATAGTAACTTGGGGTCACACCCTCTCTGGCTAAGTGCTGGGGTATGCTAGAGTGGAGTTTCATTTGGCACCTAAAGGGGTCTGGGGCAAGTCTTTCATTGGTTCATAAAACATTCACCAAATACTCAAACCATATGCTCAAGTACCACTCCGAAGTGTTGGGGTTTTTTTTTCCTTTTGTGAGAAAGAAGTCTTTAAAATTGCAGATGTTAGAACTGCAGAATATACTTAAGGGAAATGATATCGATTTAGCCATGATGATCCTGGGGACCACTGCCTGAACAAGATAGAAGGGCAACGTTTAGTTGGTGGGCCAGCGTCTCTCTGGCCAAGTTTGTCCATACTAAGGAAAGGCATCAGACTCAAAAGTATAAAATGTGTGTTTGTGTGTGTGTAGATATGTATATATGTGTGTGTGTGTATATATGTATATATATATATATAATGTCTACACACACATATGTGTGTATGTGTATGCATATATTTATATTTGTATATATAAACATATATAAAAACAAAGTATAAAACATAAGTATGGGCAGGGTCTTCCAGACAAGGATTGTGCAGTGGTAGGATCATAGCTCTAGAGTTGGAAGGGGCCCCAGAGACCATCTAACCCAATCTTTTTGTTTTACAGATGAGGAAGCTGAGATCTAGAAAGGTTAAGTGACTTGCCCATGGTTATGCAGCTGGATTGGAACCCAGGCTTTCTATGTGGCATAGAGAAGAGGGCACTGGGCTCAGAGTCAAAGACCTAGGTTCAAACCCTGACTCAGAAACCAGCTAGGTCATCTTGGGCCAATCACATTACATCTCTGTGCCTCAGTTTTCTCATCTGCAAAAATGAAGGGGGTTGGACCAGAGGGTCATTAGTCTCTTTTAGATCTAGATTCTATGATCCCTCTAGAGACAACGGTCTTTCTACTAGTATTGGTGTCCAGCATTAGTGTAGGAGAAAAAAAGAAAGGAGAATTATGATCAATCTTCTTTCAACTGAGCCGCTCCTTTGGGTTGGGCTGCATCTCAAACCCACGGGGCTTCCTCTCCGCAACCATAACTCTGCTTCTCTGTTTTCTGGGTCATAATAGTGTTGGCTTTTGTGGCATAGGCTCAGTTTGGAAGCTGGAGAGAAATCTACATCCGACTTTGAGGGAAACTAGCCCGTCTCCCCATCCAAAGATCCTTGGCACACTATTGGACCCGCTAAAGCAGGCCATGCCAAGCAGGACTGTCCCTGTGTGACAGAGGGGCTTTGTATGGCTCCCGGCTCCTGCCAACTTCAGGAACGCGAGCCGGGAAACAAAGGATAGTGTCACAGACTTGGTTTCTTTGTGGGCCTTTTTTTCTTAACACTTCTTTATCTCTTTATTGGGGGCTCCCTCGCTCGAATGGGGTTTGTTTAGTTTTCATTTGGATTAAGATCCCTGCACGTGGCCACGAGTGAGTCTTTCTCTCCAGGCTGTGCACCGGATGCCTGCTGAGAGAGGAGTGGGGGTGTCTTGTTTTTTTGTGAAACTCTCCGGGCAGAGAACTGAGACCAGGCTTGTGGCACACATAGAGCAGTGGCTGTTGGTGCCTGAAAAACTGGTGAATGGGCTTTGAGGCAAGGTATTGTGTTGGCTTATGAACGTGTCAATTGATCGCATTTAAGGAAAAGAGGAGAGACTTGTTAGCGAGTTATCTTAGAGACCTCATTTGTTAGGCGAGAGGCAAAGTGCATCAGTCAGTCAAAGAATCCCTGCTCATGGAGGAATCTCTTCATTTCTGGCTTTGCTTTCCATAGCATGCTGTTCCTAAGTTCAGGGATCATGGATTTATAGTTGTGAAGCACTTTAGAGGCCAAAGAATTAGTCCAACTCCCTCATTTTACAGATGAGGAAACTGAGGCTCTGAAAGCAAGATGCCCAAAGCCGTATAGGTAGTAAATGATCAAGTGGGAATGTGAACCTGTACAAGTCCACAGACTCCAAGTGCAATAATCCTCTTTCCACTACACTCTGCACAAGCCTTTGAGAAGCAGACTTGGAGTAGTGGTTAGAGAACTGGAACCAACTGGAGTCAGGAAGACCTAGGTTCAAATCCTGCCTCAGATACTTGCTAGGTATGTGGCCCTGAGTGAGTCACCTAACCCACTCAGCCTATTTCCTCATCTACAAAATGGGAATAATAAAGCACGTTCCTCACAGAGTTGTAGGAAGAATCAAATGAGATAATAAAGGCAATGAGGTGTTACAATGGATTGAATATATTTTTGAAACCCTAAAGCTTTATATAGATGCTAGGTATCATCCTTATTATTATTATATGTTATAATTTATATATAATTATATGTATAATATATAATGTTATTATTATATATTATATTATTATTAAATGTGTGTGTGTGTGTGTGTGTGTGTGTGTGTGTGTGTAGCTTTGCATACCTTAAAGTGCTTATATAACTGTTAGCTATCATTAGATGTGGCTGGGCTCAGAATCAGGAATTCAAACTGGCCTCACACACTTATTAGCTGTGACCCTGGACAAGTCACTTGGCTTCTGCCTCTGTTTCCCCATGTGTAAAATTGGGATAAGAATAGCATTTACTTGCATTGCAGAGTTGCTGTAAGCATCAAATGAGATACAATGTATAAAAGGCACTTAGCACAAGTGCCTGGCCCATAGCTGGTGATATATAAATGTTTATTCCCTTCCTTCCCTCACCTGTGTGAACTTCTTGAACACGTAAGCCACCATTGGGCCTTAGTTACCTCATATTTATAATTGGGGGGAGGCTGAATTTAATGATCTCTAAGGTCCCTTTCAGTTATAAATCTATGATCTCACGTGCAGACCTATCAACTGTACCAATTTTCCTGAGCACGTAAGTGTGGTCACTTCTGAGAAGGACATTAAGATGAATGAGGGCTCTCACCCCACCATGACTAGTCAATCAATCAGTCAACACCCTTCACTGTCTTCTCACTATGCAAAGACCCTGACTTAGGCACTAATTTCTTTACCAGACGTGGTCCTTTTGGGGATTTCTGCACATAGAGGGGAAGGTACAGATATTGGTCTAAATTCTAAAAACCACTTAACTCCCAAAAATTAGCATGAATTATTCAAGAGGAGAGGGAACAGCCTCTTAAATTTTAACTTATAAACTCACATATATGAATTAACAACAGGAACATGTCACACTATGAAAAATGATGTGCTCATTACAAAGGTTGCCATAAAGGCCAGCCAGAAATCCTGGAGAAGCCTAGATTCTAATCCCAGAATGCCTCTGGTTCTAATGCACAGAGAAAAAAATCTCTTGGGATGCTGCCTGGCCAAAGGTCAGGAAATGCCCTAGTCTCTGCAGGAGAAAGTCCAACCTACAGGCAGCTTCTCCAAGCAGATCAGCTTTCCCAAACAGAGACATCTTTTAGTTCCAATGTGCTTTGTGGCACGAAATGGCAAAACTAGAAATCCGAATTACACGATGCTTTTTCTCTTCCTTACCAAGGTCAATCCAGAGATGAAAGGCCATTAGGCAAAAATTTTGCTTCAGTTATTTAAGAGTATTTCTGCTATCTAAGGAGTCCTGGGTGTACCTCTTAAAACCTCATACTCTAGCAGTGAAGGTTATGACAGGCCAGCCAGCAACTGGCTTCAAGTGGGTCAGAGAAATTCCAAAATTAAGTATACTTCAGTCCGTCATTTTAAAAATCCCAATTTGGACAGCAGAGGCCTTAAAAGGAACTTACTTGTGAAACGACAAAGAAAGCCCAATACTGCTGATTATCACCAATTTCTCTCTGGCCCTTTCCTCAATATTACAATTCAAAGGGAAGCCTGAAGTCTCAAGTGGGAGGTGGCACTACCAGGGTTGGGAATATCCTTTCAACCAAGTAAGCCCCAGCCACCCCTGAAGGAGCAAAACAAATGTTTGGGACTTGAAAATATGAGGAACTTGAAAAGCAGACCCCAGAAAGGATGGCTAAGAATTTGAGAGACTAAGGCAAGCCCTCCCCCACCAAGAAGAGGGGGGTCAGTACTCACCTGTCATTAGGGAGTAATAATTAGGGTAGGAAAGACTGGGAAAGTCCGGGGTCAAGTAATCGACTTTCACCCCCCTGCTCACAATCTCTTTGAACCCAGGCAAGGATTCCAGGGCTTCATCACTGATGTAGTCATGGCGAAAGCCATCCAGCAGAAACACCAGGAGCTTCCTGTGGACTGTGGTCGGGCTGCCCAGGTAGAAGGCCAGGAAGAGTAAGAGGGTCAGGAGTTTTGTGGCCATGATGCCAGGAGGCTGCCCCAGGGTCCAGCCAGGGCCGCCTGTTCCTTTGCAGTGTGTGTGGATGGAGAAGCTGAAGCTATTCTCCCTTCTAGGGGCTGGACCTTTCACTGCTATCCTATCTGAGCCAATTTCACTTTCAGAATTTAAAGGTACAGCACTCTCCTTATTTAAAAAAAAAATAGAAGAAGAAGAATGAAAGGAAGACTTTGCTTGTGCTCAGCCTTGGTTGGAGAGTTCCTGGGCCCCCTTCTGAAGGAGAATGAGGAATGTCCTCAGCTACCCCTGCAGTTCACACTAGGGGAGGACGGCCAGCTTGCTGCTTTCAACACATTCTCCAGAAATGCATACCCATGAGGGAAAGGACAAAAGGAGCGATAAGGCAAGAAGAACTTTAGCGCAAGGCCGAGCATCAGAAAACTGGGATCATTCTTTGGTGGCTCCAGCAACTGGAGTTCAGATTCTCCTCAAGTGACCCTCTCTTGAACAGTGGAAGAGCTTAATAAGTACATATTGCTTTGAGTTGGATTTTTCACCTTAAGCTTGTTAACACAAACTTTTAGAGCTCAAAATACAAATGGACATATTGATGAGGAGCATGGTATGGTGGGAAAAGTACTGGATTGGGGGTCAAGGTGCCTGGGTGCTAATCCCACCTCTTCCTCCTTATTACCTGTGTGACTTTGAGGAAGTCACTTAACTTCTCTAGGACTCAGTTTCCTCATCTGTAAAATGGATTGCATGGCCTCAGAGGGCCTTGGCAACACTAAATTTGTGATCCTATGATCTTTAGGTAATTATGTTGTGAGTACTGGTCACTCAGCAAAGTCAAGAGTGGGGAACCTGCAGCCTCAAGACCACATGTGCCCCTCGAGGTCCTCAAGTGCAGCCCTTTGGCTGAATCTAAGCTTCACAGAAGAAATCCCCTTAATAAAATGATTTGTAAATAAAATAAAATGACATATATATATAATAAATTTTTTAAAAAATAAAAGGAATTGTACTGTGAAGTTAGGATTCAGACACAGGGCTGCACTTGAGGACCTGAGGACCTCACATGGCCTCGAGGTTGCAGGCTCCCCACCCTGGATCAGTTTAACCAGTCAATCCTGTGTGGTAGACACTAGGGATCACTAGGGATACTGATGGTAAAATGAAACAATACCTTAAATCAAGAAGCGTGTCTCTCTCTCTCTCTCTCTCTCTCTCTCTCTCTCTCTCTCTCTTTCTCTATATGTATGTATGTATATATATACATATACACATATGCATACATATATTCTATGGTGCAAAAGAATGGCAGGGGAGGGAAAACAACATGTATATATGTGTATATACATATATACACACACATATATGTATACACACATACGTAGGGCAGCTAGGCAGCACAGTGGCTAGAGTACTGGACTTGGGAGTCAGGAGACTGGAGTTCAAATGTGGCCTCAGACACTTCCTAGCTGTGTCTTGGGCAAATCACTTCACCCTGTTTGCCTCAGTTTCCTCATCTGTCAAATGAGCTAGAGAAGGAAATGGCAAACCACTCCGGCATCTCTGCCAAGAAGACTCCAAATGGGGTCATGAAGAGCTGGACATCACTGAAATGACTAAATAATAACAACCATACAAGATGTATCCAACATAAATTAAAGGCTATTTGAGGAGAGGTACATCAGGAAAGGTTATGAAGAAGAAGAAATGAGGAAGAATTAGGCAAGACAGGCCAGGCAAAGGCATGGAGAGAAGCGATAGACCGTCATTGTGAGCCACAGCAAGAAGACTGGATTGTAAGACTGCAGAGAAAGGAGTAAGAGAAAGGCAGATTAGAGAAACAAATTGCCTCTCTATGGTTTTTGTTTTTTCCTCTCACACAGACCACCAATCTAACAAATTAAATTCAATTCAATTCAGCCAGGAGAGGCATCATGGCATACAGAGAACCATCCTTGGAGTCAGGAAAACCTAGATTTAAGTGCTGCCTCTGACTCATGTTGGCTAGGTGACCCTGGGCAAATTACTTAACCTCCCAATGTCCCAGGCAACTTTCTGAAATTCAAGGTCTCAAAAGTTATAGATCTGCATTGGTAGAGGGAAATCCCTCACTGGGAGTTCCCTAAGCCAGTGAAGTCACAGACCTAAAAATATCACACACACACACACACACACACACACACACACACAGAGCCCACAAAAAAATAGGAAACTTTTATAAAATATCTGCTCTGCAGAGTACTACACTAATACTGGAAGTGATACAAAGTTTAGCTAAGTCACAGCTTCTGCCCTCATGAAGCTGATAGTTTACTAGAAAGATCCTAAAATATCACAAAACAAAACTACTCTACATGCTCCTAGACCTAATCTGGCTCCTGAGCTTTCAGAGGCCGTGGGGTCAGCCAGCCAGTGCAATCCCAGAAGACTTCACCTGCCTCCGTTGTCCCCAGTCTCATCTCCTGGCCTGGAGGATGCCTCAGCAAAATTTACCCTTCTTCAAATCAAAGCTCTTAGCTAGGATCCTTCTAGATATACATGTTCGGGACTCATATGGCAATGGTAAAACCAAGTGTCTCTGACATACCAAGACCTGAGGAAAGGGAGGGATAGAGGAGAATACAAACCACATGAATTACAGCATGGAGCCTGACCATATTTCTGGTCTTCTGCCGTCTGCCCCAAGGGGAATGGAGGAGTTTGGTTAGGAGATGAATCTAAGTAGGTAGTAAATTAGAAAAATGTGGTCCGTGTTAGGAACCCCGAAGTCTTGTGGTCTAAGACTCTGGGTCTTTGTTTCTTTTTAGGTTTCCATGTTTGAGAACGGTAGTCAACAGCCTGAATCTTTCATGTCTTTTCCTAGGGTCTTTTTACTTTACGCCAGGAAAGCTATTTCAATATAAGTTTCATCCAGATGATATTGCAAATTGCAAAACTCCTTCTGGACCCTGGATGGGCCTTTGCCTAGAAAGCTCTGCCAAGCCCTGTTCCAGACATACATGAACTCTTAGGAATGTGCTACATGGTCCAGTTGGAGATCTTCCCTGATATGGAAACCAGAAGATAGCAGCCCCCCCCCCAAATGGAAGAAATGCAGATGCTATTTGTCTTGCTACCTATCTATAGTTTCAGGTGGTAAGGTTAGGCAGGAGGCAGCTAGAGATGGAAAAGTTTTTGTTCTCATCTGTAAAGCTGACATAAAGGTAAATCAGATCTTAAATTTTACAAATGAGAAAGATAAGTAAAACAAAATCTGCAAAATACATCTCATTTCTTTCTCTAGTCAAATATTTTTGGAAACAAGCTCAGTCATTTATTGGAAATTGTATTTCAATCAACAAGTAGCCATTTTGGTGGTGCCGTAGAAGTCTAGACTTGGAGTCAGCAAGACCTGAGTGTGAATCCTGCCTCAGGCTCCTAATTACTGCAGGCACATGCCAAGGTTCTCTCAGCTTCATTTTCCTCATCTTAGCGAATAGGCTAATAATAACACCTCATCTCACAAGGTTGTTGTGAGAATCATTATTAGAAAGCATTTTGCAAATCTAAAGTGCTATAAATACTCATTATTATTGTTGCTATTTTCTGCAATACCACACAATGGGAGGGAGATGAGATAAGTATAAGATATGGTGCCTGCTCTTATATATCTATCTAGTATCATGGAAGCCATTTTCATTATATTTTTTGTCCTAATCAGTAAGCCAGGGAAAACACCCATAGAGCATGAAGGCAATTGCTCTAATGAGGTCTTGAACTGTTCTCCTATTTTCTCAAGTAGTTTTCAAGAGCAGAAATAGGGATAGAACACCAGCTCTGGAGTCAGGAAGACCTGAGTTTAAATCTGGCCTCAGATACTAGCTGCGTGACCCAAGGCAAGTTACTTAACCCTGATTGCCACCAAAAAACAAAAACAAAAACAAAAAAACCTGAAAAACCAAAACAAATTAAAAAAAAAACAAAAACCCTAGCAACAACAATAAAAAAGCATAGATAGCCCAAGCTTCTGGGCTGGTATTTCCTTTCCTAGCCCTTAAAAATCATGGATCTGAGTGTCTTGATAGAAGAGAGAACAAGAGAGCCAAATGAGATGTCATTGTGCAGTCCTGGGGAATTGAGTTACCTGGGTGATCCTCCCCAGGTGTCTATATTTGTGTTTCCCTGAATTATGTGTGTTCCTTGGGAAAGTCTCCTGCCTTGGATGGTATTCTAAATTTCAGGGATCTTAGCTACAGAAATCAGAAAAGGGCTAGTCAGTAATGACTCTGCGTTATAAGGTCAGAGACAGTATCATCTTCAATAACTTTGTCTCCTTTATTTGCTCTTGGGAATCCGTTGTCAAAGATTTGGAGGATTATAATATTGTAAATTTAAAGCTGGAAGAGCCATAAGAAGTCACTGGGTCCAACCACACCTTTTTGAAGATAAAGTGAAGCCGAGAGAAACGACTTTCAAATCCAGTTCTTCCGATTCTGATTGATGATTAAAGAACAGTTTAGGACCTTGGCTCGCCAACTACACCCACCTGATCTGCATGCCAGCTAATAACATGATACTGTGCACAATCAAAATAGCACCATAGATTTAGAGCTTGAAGGGACCTTGTTTAGTCAATTCAGTCATGCCTGCCTCTTCATGGCCCCATTTGGGGTTTTCTTGGCAAAGGTACTGGAATGGTTTTCCATTTCCTTCTCCAGCTCATTTGAGGATGATGAGGAAACTGAAGCAAACAGAGTCAAGTGACTTGCCCAGGGTCACACAGCTAGTAGGTGTCTGAGGCCAGATTTGAACTGAGGAAGATGAGTCTTCCTGACTCCAAGCCTGGCACTCTATCCACTGTACTCTCTGAAACTGAGGCCCAGAAAGCTTAAGTCATTTGCCCAGAGTCACAAGGTAGTGACAGAAGCAGTATCTGAAGCCTGTAATATGTCCGCTGTGGTGACCTAGGTCCTCTTTCTTCCCCTTTCATACCCTCTCTCTTGATAACTTCCCCAGTTCTTGTGGATTTAATTATCACCTTTCTAGAGATGACTCCTAGATCTATACATTCAGCCCCAGTCTCTCCCTTGAGCTCTAGTCTGCCTCACCAATTGCTTATTGGACAT